CAGAAAGGAGCTCAGATTGCTTCTCCCCAAATGTTAAAGAAGTAACAGGAGTAGGAAGTGTGAAGATAAAGGACAAAACTGTGGAATATTTAAGGAGAAAAAGGGATGTGTAGATGTGGTGTGATTATTATTGTTTTTTTTTCTCTTTCCCTCCCATTGCTTAAGGCTAGTATTTGGCTGCCCAGTGAACTATAACAAGATTTAATAGCTCCAGCGTAGCTATATTGCATGTGGACTGATTCCATCCTTCTGTTGTAATAAACATCTGCTTTACAGTGAGCTCTTAAATTCTATAAGTGACGTCAAATTGTATCTAATAATGGAAAAAAGATTAAGTGCTGCAAATGCGACTCGCTCGCTCCATGCCTTCCTTTTCGAGCAGCGCTTTGTCCCCAGCCCCTTGCCCTGCAATCTGCATTTGAGATCTCTCCGTGAGCCTGCCCTGAGGTTTGCACAAGAGGAAAGCTGTTTTTCAGGGATGTTGCATTTTTCCTCCTCCTCATTTGATTTCATTTACCCCACCCTCCCTTTCATCCTGCCTGCAGCCGGGGCTGTGGGTGCTCCCCAGCTCTGTGCTGCAGCTGCGTTTGGGGATGTGCTCATTCACTGCCAGGTATGCTCTGAGCTCTGCCCAGAAGCTTCAGTGTGTAAGCACTGCATAAGGACTTCTGCTTAAAAAAAGATGTGACAGCTGAGATGTGTGATTAAGATGAATGATTACAAAGAACATTACTTACTGCCACCGTATCCTTTAATCAGTAGTAGCGTGAACTTTGAAGGAACTTTAACTTTTAATTTATTTTTTTTTCAAGGCCTGATGAATTTTTAAATCTGCTTAGCTGTCAGTCAGCGGGTATGAGCGGAGTACTAAACCTGAGCACTGCAGATTATAAAAAGCCATCTCATTCAGTTTTATATATTGCACATATGCACATGTGTGTGAGTGCAGTGGTGAATGTTATGCAAGTAATGCTAGCTCCAAAACAGAAATGTTGGTTTTCTTTTAACCTTTAGGTGAAGAGGGGTGATGTGATCAAAGCTAGCTAAGGGTCAGTGTAGCAGTGACATTCTGCTGAGTGAGGCTGCTTCTGGGCCAGAAGGAGGGTGCTGCATTAATCAAGGTGTGAGCGTTGAGGCTGCCTTGAAAAAATGCTGACTTAGGTCCTAGGAATCTGTTTGATGTTTCTGCTGCTTCTTCTAATGGCATCAATAAATCAGAGCACAGTGTGGACGCAGTGCTTCCTGCCCTGGGCACTGGGCTCTCTATCAGGGTGTTTGCAGAGTTGAGGCTGCCCAGGTGGGATCAGTGCTGACGTCTCTCCAATACCACTTTGTCCAAGGAGCCTTCTGCTTGGGGTGTTAAAGAGATGTAGAAAACCTAAAGGAAGCCTTTAGGAAGGTAGATGATATCGTCAGGTAATACCTTTATTTAGGCACTGCATTTGGCTTCGTTTTCTCAGTGTTAATTGCATTTCATTTCTCAGTGTTGTGAAAATACTCAGCTGCTGAGTGCAAGGCAGAGCCTGATGCTGCAGTCCTGGGGCTGCGACCTGCCTCTGCCATGACTCTGCCTGACCTCTGTGGTGACTTTTTTCCTCAGGGGAGTCCTTAAACTTTATCATAATGTAAAACGAGCTTCCTATGCGAGGCTCTGTGCTTCTAGGGCTTTATTTCTTCCCTCTAGCACACAGGAACCAGCAGCCCTGGCACAGCGGGTGTTGTGGCCGTGCAAAGGAGCCAGGAGTTTGTTTAATACTCAATTCCTGTGTCCTCAGGGCCAGCCTGTCAGTCTGACTGGGGTTTGGCCTCCTATTTAAATACCCTTCGTGCACTAAATCTTATTCCTTAATTACAAGCTGTCAGTTGTCATCAGCCCTTTGCTCCCTCATTTACTAGCAGTGAGACTGACCCTCACCTCCTGCAGTGACTGCAGGACACCGCATGCCTTTTTCTGAGCTGAGACATTTCCCTGCTCAGCCTCTGCAGATCCTGATGGTTCCCTCCTTAAAGAAGAGGCCCTTCCTTAAGAAGTTGGACATTGTTACGAGAGAAGCTGTTAAAACCAGAGGTAAATACAATGCACCGCACCTCAGTCTTCAGCCACAGCCTGAAACAATAGCTCAGAGGTGGACCTGACTCATCTTGGCAGGATATTGACTCTGCAGCATAATTATACTTCGAAAGCCTGATTCTAAAACGATTGTATAAAGTTATGTGCCTGGCTCTCACAGTTACTACAGCTCTGCATATAAATTGAATAACTCCAGTGTGCCCCTTGCCCACGGCAGAAATAGCAGCAGGCACAGCAGTGTCCTGCATCACCAGCAGGTTGGGGTCTGCAAAGCCCATGGGCTGCCTCCAGACCTGGGGGGCTTTGGCAGACCCCTGGGAGACCTGATGTGGTGCTGAGTATTTATCTTGTATTGGTTTCCACCTGGGTTCCTCTGCTTGGGTAAAAGCTAGGGCAGATGTTTTGCAGCTCATCATTTGGTGGTGATGAGTTAATGGTTGATCTTGATCTTAGTGGTCTTTTCCAGCCTTTATGACTCTATGAAATGTGGTTCTTGCTGTTGGCCAGTGTGCTTCAAGGGCTGTTCTCTCTCTACCTGGTGTTTGGGGCTGGTTGCAGGAGCTGCAGTGATCAGTTTTCAGGAGTTTTTGGCTGTTTTTGGTGCAGTGCCTTTCCTCAGCAACCTGCTGCCGTACAGGAACCTGCAGGCTGAACCAGAGCCTGGGCTTTGAGCACTGACCACAGGAAAACAGAAACCTGGAGGGGAACTCTACAAAGAAACCTCAGCTATTGGTGGCTGCTGCATCTGTTTCGGGCCAACACTGCTGGGATTTTAGTCTGTAATAAAATAGTCTCTGTTGTGTCTTGGCCATCTGAATTATTACCTCTCTGGCACTTCATTATAAACACATTTTTTCCTCCTTGGTACTGGTTTCCTGCCATTTTATTGCTTTTAAGGTTCTATTTTTGTTTTATTCATCTCTTCCAATCGATAGGAAATATCCTGTTCTTAGCAAGCAGCACAGGCAGACATGAGTGATGCCCTTATGGGAAAGCAGAATCGCTTTCAGAGCTTTTTATAGGGGGGGGAGAAGCTTCTAAACCCAGTTTTCAAAATCTCTGAAGTTTAACAAACCACTGCAGACATTGCTTCATCTTCTACTGCCATGAGCTCCAGGAGTTGGTATCCCAGCATTGCACCAGTGCAGATCTGGAATGGTGTTTAAGATCCATCATATGGTAATTATTGTTGTTCTTTGCCATGACACTAATTAAAAACACCTAATGAGATTATCCCCACCTGTTCTCTAGGATTAACTTGATGGAGGAAATCCTGCACGTGTGTGTGGACGTGCAGACTCCTGCATGGCAGTGTCAGGAGGAAGGGCAGCCGCTCCAAAATTACTTTCTACAGGGTTTGCATGGCAAAGATATATTATTATTTTTTATTATTTTTATTATTTCCTCCCTGCACACGATACATACACACAGATTACTCTGACAGCAATAAAATGAAACAGAGAATTGAATTTGAAAATAAATTGTTGAGATGATGCAGCAGCAGACAGATAGCTTCTTCCAGAAGAGTCGGTCCAGGATGGATGGGCTTTATAGCCGAATAAGAACACAGCAATTGAACAGCAGCAAGCTATTGACAAAGTTGTCAAAGCCTGCAGCTGGGATGCAGAGGTCTGTGCCCCCAGGTGAGCTCAGCCCCAGGCCAGGTAAGGCAGAGAGGTTAGAGCCAGTCCCAAGTCAGTAGACCAGGGCTAAAGCACTGGACGTTGTCCTTGGTTGCTCTGTGAACACAGGCATTGAGTTTTCATCTCTCTAAGCTTTGTGAGAAGTCAGTGAAGAGATGTGCAAACAGGGAAAAGCGTGGATAGTGGTGGGAGTTCCTGGTTCCCAAGCTGCACTTCAGTCCATCACTTTATTGTTGGACCTTTTCCTCAGCTGCAGGGTTTGGGGCTGCATCTGCTGCAGTATCTGTATCTGGAGACTTTCAGTAGGCAGAAAGGTGAGGTCTGGTGATGAAAAGGATCCAGGTGAGTGCTTTAAATGGTGGCAGAGTGGCCATCATGTCCTGCTGAGGCTGCATTGCCACTTTTGTCCCCTCCTTCTCCTCAGTCTTAGTTTCCCTCCCCTCCCTTGTGTTATTTTCCTGCCTTTATCCACATCCTATGGGGATATCTTAAGGGTATTTGAAAAGTTACTGCTTTGACCCTTGGTGTGGTAAATGCTCTACTCCCTATATTCTTAAGCAATAATTTTATTAAATTGCCTCAAGGCTGGGTACGATGGGATTTTTTTTGTTGCTCTTTGATCTTTGGCTGTATTCTTAAGCAGCAGTGTAAAAACAAGTCTGGCATTGACATCAATGACAAGAGAATTTTGCCTGTAGTTTACTTGGAAGTGAAAGAGAACGGATCCTACCAAGACAGTATTTTGAATTGAAATGGGAAGAAAAATGCATTTTGGCCATCCTCACTGTTGGAATCCAGATGACATTCTCAGTCACGGTGGCTCTGAGGGCTGAAGACGTCTAATTACTGCCTTTTCTTGCAGCTGAATGGAAGTGAGAGGGTAAAACCTGATACCTTTGATTAGATCCATCTCTGGTGCGTTGCTGACATTGGAGAGATACATTATTGTCTAGCAATGAAAGATCTGCCTATTCATTTTGAGCTTTTGTCTCATCTCTCCTATGGAGATGCTGTTGCATAGGATACTCTGATTGATACAGTGGCAAAGATCAGGAGGGTAATAGCTTTGATGGCATCCTATGAAGCAGATCAAAATTTTCCTGAAAGATTCCATTCAATTTGATATTAAGGGTCTGGTAACACTCCAGGGATTCTTGTCTTTGCTATTAGGCTTATTGCTATTACAAAAATTAATGTTTGGGCTTTCTTTTTTTTTTTTTCCTGACAGGATATTCTCCAACATGAATGGAAAATAACTGCTGCTTTTCTCTCACACTCTTTTTCAGGGATCCTCAATGCATTTCCTTGCCATTATTTAAGGAGCCTTTACTAAAAGCTTCTGGATTGTGTTTCTGAGTGGACAAAAGATTTTGTATTCAAAATGCTTATAAAGGAGTATCGTATTCCTCTTCCGATGAGCGTGGAAGAATATCGAATTGCACAGCTCTACATGATACAGGTCAGTCATGTTTCAGTCGGGATCTTTGGGCATGAGGTGACACTTCGTTTGGAAGAGTGGAGAATTGCTGCAGCAGGAGATATTTTAAACGTGAGGTTTTCTGCGTGCTTATAAAGAAGTGGGGGAGAAAAGGAATACAGACTCTAGTTATAAAGCCCTGAAGATCTGTCTCTTTTGTCCTTAAAACACAACACGTCTGATTGACCTACCTGGCAAAGTAGTGGCTAATGATTGGGCTATTCCAAAGGAGGAAAGCACTGAGCCCGAGGGCCTGGATACCTGACTTGGAAGGGCTGTAGGGCTTGCACAGCCACTGCTAATGGAAGCAGTGTAGTAGCTGTGTAAAACGTCAGTGAGCAGTAGAGTGTGCAGGAGAGGGATCTTATTAAGGAAGAAGAGTGCGCTTGCTTTAACAAGGCTGAATGCTGAAGGTGTGCTGCTGAGTAGACTGGCTGCAGAGGGCTCAGTTGATGGGATGGATTTGCAGCTTGCTTTTAGCAGTTAAACTGCTTGTTTAATTAATGCACAGCACTGAACTCCGCTTTGTTCACATGTGAGTGATCTTGGCTGTATTTTAATGTCGAAGGACTGGATGAGCCATTAAGGCTTCATTGGCCCAGGAAAGTGTTTGAGAAACTATGCATGTATCCAGCCCTGCTGCACAGCTGCTCTCATTTTCTAGTGCATTGATATGCAGCAAAATAAGGTTTCCTCTTAGGTCAGATGTAGAGGGTGTGCTGGGAGGTGATGTCAGGTCTCTGATCTTCCACCTACAGAGGCTGTGGGCTGGGCAAACTGCATCTGAGCTGAAAGCACATGTAATAGGCAAACGACTTCACTGCTATGTGTACAAGTGGAACAAGGGGAAAAGTTAGCTGTGCTTTATATTTGTCTTAGCTCAAATTAAAAAAAGTAACGAATACAGAAAACCCATTTATAGTAGCATATGGAGTTTTTGCTGTGATTTTAAGCATTTGGTAAGAATGTTTTAACTCTTCTTGAAACTGGTGGAAAGGTTCCTGCAGGCTTCAGTGGGAGCTTTTCCTAGACCGTGATATCAGATGTCTTTTTTTCTTCAGCCTTATCTAAAAGTGGAGGTTTTGTCTTTGAGGCAGATGACAGGGAGAGAGCAGTGGGGAGCATGACTCGTGTTCTTTTCATAGGATGAGGATATGCTTCATGTCTGTCTTTTATTTTTCCTCTGAAATGTGTAGAGAGGCCACAGGAAAAGCAAGTTGTGTATGTTGAACTTCCTCAGGGGAACAAGCAGAGATATCTGTGTAAAACAGCAGGGGAGAGGCATTCCTTAGAAACTGTTGTCTGAAACATGCAGAACAGAGAGATTTAAGGTATTTCCTGGGGAGAGGAGTGATTCTGAAGAGCAAAAAGTTCATTATGGAGATGTGTGTTGTGTACAGTACAGCATGATCAGTGCTGGAGTCACCAATCAGCCAAGTCCTGTATAAGAAGCAGTTTTCCAACAGTGTAAAAGGATGTCACAAGTCTTCCTCAAGGATATGCATGCATATATGTATGTATATATATCCATACAATCTTAAGCACGTACTTGAAGTTAATCATTTATTTAATTTCAAGCCCACAAGTGAAGCTCCCTATTAAGTCCAAGCCAGTTGGTAGAAAGTTGCTCTTTCAAGAGCAGTCAGATCATTGTCCTGGACTTCAGCATCCTTCAAACTAAGTTTTCCAAAAGGACCTTCTCACTTGGGGTTGAAACAGCTGGCCTTGTGCAGCTGCCCTGGGTACCCTTGCTGTGGAATTGGTCCCTCCAAGCCATGTTGGCAGAGACATTCAGACTCAGGCTGTAGTGTTATGATCCCATCTGAATGTTTCCATTGAGGTTTTTGCCTTTGCAATGAATAGTCCTTTCATATCCTTGCATGGGAGAGCAGTTCCTCCATCCTGCTTGAAGTCATAACACAATTTCCACCAGACTTGGTTTGAACAACATCACGCCCAGGTAGCAGAGGATCTTCCTGTTAAGCCAGAACAGACTGTATTCACATTTACTGCACTTAATGGATGAGAGATTTAAAATTGTGCAGTATATAACCTGTAGTTGGTGCTCTCTGCCACTTGTTTGGCAAGACATGCAATGAATCATTGTGTCTGTGCCCACATTGTGTTATGCTTGAAGTTCCCCAGGCTGGTTTGTAAACCTGTAAAAACTAAGAGTGGCCTGCTGCTTCCTTTTCTTTGTTTCTCCTTCCTTTTTTTCTCTTATGGGAGGTGAGGTGGGGGAAACGAGAAGTCTCTCAAGAATTGCTTCCTGCTAGCTTCTGAAACGTTATCTGCAGAGACACTGGTTTCAGTACTTTAAGGAGCACTTAGGTCTTTCTCTAAATGAGTTAATTTTACATTACAGCAGCAGGCAGAATGTGCCTTTGAGTTGCTTGAAGCCTAGCAGGTTTGAACCAAATGGCTTTTCTCTATTAAATTTTAATCTATCAATGTCGCTGTTTTCACAGATAGCCTCCGATGCAGTGTAGTCTGTGTGTTCAGACTGGGAGGCCTTGCTGCATTAGCCACCGAGCTGTCTTAGCTCTTCCATGAGCATAAACTTATTTTTGTTTTGTTTTCATTGCAGCTGCCCTTTTCTCTCTTTTGCTATCCAGTTAAGACACTAATTTTTATATCTGAACTCAGAATGAATGATCTTTCTACCTGCTGAGAGATGCTGTTTTGGTGCATAAAAGGCAAAATACTTCAAAACAGTGAAATCATTATTTGTATTTCTTTTCTAGACAATAGTTTTATACTCATTGTTCATAAAATCTGTGCACACATGAAAACTCCCACTCCTGCTTCCAAAGGTGAGATGTGTGTAGACAACCTTGACCTGCAGATGTGCCCACAGTGCTGGGAGAGCTGCAGTCTGACCTGGGCAAACTGCAGCTCCTGTCCCCACATAACCAGAAACTCACTTGGAGCACTGGCAGCGGAGGCCTGAAATGAAGCACAAGCCATTGATGGAAGGGACAGCTTTGAAGCATCTGCAGGGATTTCTTTCTTCCTGCAGAAATGCTGAACTAAGGAACTCTGCTGTGGATGTCTTCCCTGTACTTCACGTCAAAGGCATGTGCAATATTTCTGCCTGTGTAAGGACAGTGAAGCCTATTGGATGTGAAGGATAGGACCATTCTGTTTTTATTGTGTGATACTTAAAAGGCTCTTTAATAAGATTTATCTACATTTTTTCCTCTTCTGGATGTCCTGCATATTTGTGACTCAGCAGCTATCCTTTCCTCCAACCCATGCTTTCTTGTTTGTTTAGGGAACTTTCTGTGTGCCTCTCCCTTATCCCAGAAACAGCACACATCTTAATGTTAAATCTCTATCTCCTAAAAGCTTGTATTCCAAGATCTGTATGTGTTTGTGGAAAGATCAGTATGTTATTAGCCAAAGGTCAGCCCATTTATCATCTTAATACCATTCATTACTGCAGTTCCATATTGCATGGGATTCTGGGAGGCCATTGCCCTTCTGACTCTTGCATAAGACGAGAGAATTCCTCATGTTATTAAATCTTATTTTTATACTGGTGTGTATAGCTGGCTTTCTCTGTTATAAATAACCTCAGACCTCTTTTGCTCCATGTAGTTTTCTCAGTGTTTGTGACCTTCCTCCAAAGACAGGGAGCTTGAAAGATACTCAAATCTTGGACCCAGGGATTGCCTTTTGGGGATGAGAGTTACTTCCAGCTGCTATGTCATCATTATAAGCTAATAACAGTAATACTTTGTCACCAGCTCTTGCTTCAGACCCCTGCATGGACCTGGGCTCTCCTTGGATGTAGCTCTCAGACGGTACCATTGAGAACAGACACCATCATTGAGCATGTTTGTAGTTCTGGAGGTGCAAAAGCCGCGTCCCTTAAACTGTTAGCGATGCCTAGCAGTTGCCAGCAGGCTCAGCAGATGGTGAAGGATTGATTGAGTGGGTGAAAACAAACTAACCCTTCATCTCTGGACACTGAAGAACAGGATGGCTGATTATTTCTTGTTTCGTTTACAGATGCCTTGGCCATCTGGATAGACAGACACGTATGCTTTAATTTCAGAAGTAGGTGACACTGCTGAGACCTTGGGAGATGCACAGTTTCCTAAAAGCAGAAACCTGGTTTGAGTCTGCCAATGTCCATGCTGCAGCATTCAAAACCTGTGACTCCCAGGTTCTTTGCTCCTCCTCTGGTTTTCTTTGTGATCACCAGGGCTTTTATCCCTGTGAAAGAGGAGGTTGAGATGCTCACAGCTTCAGGAACAAGAGAGGGGTCTGTCCAATGTTACCACGCTTGGTCTAATTTGGAGAAGTCAACAGTAACACCCATATGGATGAGCATTTTGGAAAAACCTACTGTAATAGCAAATATCTATTTTGCCTTTTTTTCTTCTTTTTTGTAGCCACTATCTTGAAAGAGTCCTTAAATTGGTTGTTATTTCACACCTGGCGGAGAAAGGATTGATTGTGGAGTAATGAGCTGTGTTGCCTTGACAGTTTGCATGTTCATGCTCTCTAACAAAACTCAGTGATGCTGAGATAAGGATATAACATAAATAGGATTTTAAACTTCAGATTTGTATTCCAGTATTTTAGCATGTAGCCTATTAGTGAATTAGTTTCATTAGGTCCCTAAAATCTCAGGGATGCAGTCAGAGGATCAGAACTGATCCAGAATACTGAATTGAAATTTCATCTTGCAGCATAATAATGGGCAGCTTCTTTTTCCCCCATTTAGAACTAGGGACAGTAATCCTCATGGACAGTGTCTGTGGGATGATAATACGGTGAGAAATCCATTTAAAGACAGGGGAGTAAATACTCAAGGTAAGATGAAATATTGTGCTGAAAGTGTAGCAGACATTTTGAAAGATGAAGCTTCTGGAGTAAACAAGTTTGAGGTATCTCCATAATAAAGTGATTCCTAATTCATGTGCCTCTGGCACATACAGCCTTGATTCTGTAGGAGTGTGGTGGGTATCTTT